ATGTTTGAAAATAACTATACATTGTTGTCCTATTTCAAAAATTGTTTTTTGGATACAGAATTTTAATTCAAAACTACCTTTCCTAGATTTTTATATTAACAATAATTATATTATTATTATTTAGATGTTAAATAATCATATTTTCCTTTTTCCCAACTTGAATTTACCTTATTTGCCTAATTAACTACCTAAAATCTGGTAGCGCACTTATGCAAAATTTAGTCGGGACAAATAGTTTTCTATTTGTTCTAGTGTAATACAAACCTGGGGGCTGTTAGTCAGTTGCCAGATCTTAGACAAATGCACTTTCTGTTCTTCACTTATAATGTAAGCAAAAAAATTTGACTAAACAAAACTAGTAATCAAGAATCATGATGGTGGTAACACCCTTAGACAATGTTCTAATGCTTTCTTCAAACTCCAGTCCTTATCTTCGCAACTGTCCACTTCCCAAGCAACTATTTGTCTTAAGAGTTGAATTAGTAAGTAGGGTTCAAGAACTTAAGCATCCAACCTTCAAATAAGTGTTAATCAGAGATGTGCAAAAAAATGCCAAATACTTTTGAATTAACAATGTTAATAATGTTAACTAGATCATATTTTTAAACAATAGTTAAGTGGACTTATTTTCTCCTTAAATAAGACTCAGGACATGAACTGAACTTTTTACATTGGACAAAAATATAAAATATCCATTAACCTAATATACATCTTTATGTTATAACTCTATGAAACAACGTGAAAATACGTAAAAACTAAGATTTGAAACAAAGTAGGTGCAAAACGTTTACTACTGTAAAATTAGAAACACCAAATGCATTATAAATTAGAGTACTTATTATTGGTTAGAATATGTTGATAATTAAGCTAAAGTAATACACTTAATTCCCGGACATACGAGATTCCTCTGCTTTGTTACAGAGACACAGGCTGAATCACAATCCCCAGCTGTCTTGGAAGTGTGTATTATTGATCAAGAGGGGTACACAGCCAACATGTGGAAAGTTTAGTCCAATTCCATTACAATGACAGAAAAAAACAATTCCGAGCACATTCCCGGCAGAGAGGGGGTCAGTAGCTCAATTTATATTTCAGTTTGGCATTGAGCGTGTGTCTCTCATAGACAGATGCTTAATGATAGTTCTTTGTAATGCTAATAATGATGAAGAGAAGATACATTTTACAACTATATAGCAGCTTTCCAAAATAGGTAATTTTAAGATTGTGAGATCCATGAACAACACAGCCAATTCATCAAGTATTAGTTCCCCAATCTTTGGGGGCTTAAGTTCTGACATATGTATTAAAAGTTCTCATTTGGACAAGCATTGATAGTCCTCCTCAATGATATAATGTAACAGCAATTAATTATGACTAACTTCACCATGAATGTAAAATATATGTATGAATTGTACACATATATGCAAATATATGCATTTACATATATACACATATATATCTGAAATATCCTTCTTTGATAAGTCAGGAAGGAAAATAACGGGAGTTTCTGGCATGGTATATGGCTCAATGTTCAGAGAGCAAGCCAAAAATGACAAGATCTTTATTCATAAGAGAAATACTCCTAAACAGTCTAAAAACTAGTTTTTATTTTTATCTTTAAAAAGCAGTCACTCCCTTGCCTGCTGCCTAGAATTTCTCCTACTTATCATGTCCCTGGTTTTTACCTGTCATCTTATTCTAAGGTTAAATAAAGAAACCATGATAATTGAAGTCAGATTGGAGCCATGGGCACGTTGCGATGCTGTGTTCAGAAAATTAAAAATAATAAATGTACCCAGAGAGAGGGAGATGCCACCACTATCTTTAACTTAGTGAGGCTAACTAGAAGAAACAAATATTAGAAATATGCAGGGAGCACAGAAAACCTGAATACATTACAGTAGAGGAAGATGTTTTCTCTTATTACCCATTACATATACTTTAGGCATCTTGGTTCAGTTCACAGTTTTATTGGTAAGTTACCATCCTTTGATATTTTAGAGTAACTTAGTTCTTGTGGATTCACAGGATAACTTAATCATCTTATATAAGAGGAAATTTTAAGTGAAAAAAATTTTTTGGAGTGTTCATACCATAAGCCATGCCCTCTGCTAGACATTTTATAAACATATCTAATTTAACCTCATTTTTAAAAAATCAGCAAAAATCTTATAGGGTGATTAATGTTATCCTCATTTAATGATGTGGAAAATAAGGCTAGGTAAATTAAGTACATTGGCCAAGGGCTCTAATCTAGTATAGCCTTGAGTTTACAACAAGACATGTTTAAAAACATATAAACTTTCATGACTTCGTGCCAGAGATTGTTCATTCTTCCACAGTATCCCGTTTTTCTCTTTTTCATGCTAGTACAATATCCAGCTGGGTATACTGTTGCCCAGCTAGACTACATTTTTGCAGACACCCTTTCAACTATGTGTGGATGGATAACGAAATTCTAGTCTAAATTATGCACACAATTTCTGGGTTGTATCTTATCTTCTCCTTCCTACAGGCTGGAGTTAGGATGTAATTGCAAGACTAGAGCAGCCATCTTGAACCATGAGATAGAAACTATGTTTTAAGAATGGCAGAAAGCAAGATATAAGGAAATTTAGTCTCCAACAGTATTAAACTGATGTGACAGCCTTGCACAGACTTCCGAGACATTTCTACTCATTTAAGTTGTTGTATCTTTGTGTATATCTGTATTTCACAGTGTGTGGCATAAGTCTTTATTAAAACAGCTGTATGATATATTATCACCAAAATAACATTGTTTATATTTTTCTTATAGATAACTACACTTTTGATGGTGAATGCAAATAAGACTTATTCTACCATACTGTGATGATCATGATTTAAGAAGACTTTTGCTTGTAAGGCTAGAGAAGATTATGCAAAGAAATCAAACTTCAGTTTCACCATTCTAGATACTGTAATTTAAAAATATATTAATGTAACTGTATTAATGTACATATGATTAAAAACAACATTTTATGTAACAAAACATAACTCTATATAATAATTGCATGTTAAGGGACAGACTAATATCCACATATTGGTGACAGCTGTGACATTAGATAATATCTGTCAAAACTGCCACTCAAAACTTAGACACATACACACCCAACAACAACAAAAGCAACTACAATTGCAAATAAAACAAACAGTGAAACGCAAATATTTAAATGATGCATAAATTGCATAACGGAAATGTCATACAGATCATGAAAACGCTTCATCTGGCACTGTTGTATCCCTTGGCATAAGAAGGTGGCAAAATTTGTCTAGGTGCTTTCTTTGAAAATAAAAACTACTCAGGAAATAGATGTATAGCAGAAACTAAGATCCAAAAGAGAACCAAATATAGATGATTCATTTTGCTGAGGATGCTTCCAGAACAACAGTACTGAACTAGGTGTTATCATTGAAAAATAACTTGTCCTTATTTTAGCATTAATATTTCAATTTCCTCTTTACTAAATTTACTTTGACTCCACATAATATTTAGAAAGCATTCATTTTACCTTTAGTAATTTTTCAGCAATTGAAATATTGGCATGGGCATATGTATATAAAAATTTTTAATTTTAAGCACTTTTCCTCAAGTAAAATGAGAAATCTCCTAAATTATTCAAATAATGTCATTATTCTAAAATTAAGAATTTAGCAACTTAAGGAGGGAAGTCATTGCTGTCAGTACCTCATATTTACACAGTTAAATATTTGCCAGATGAACAATAAACACAATTTGTGAAAAGCAAAGACAAAATTGAAATGATAAGATGGCATTGTGTCAATTTTAGAGGGATATTTTATATGTAAAGACATTAAATGTCCTAAAATATGTTTTGTGAAATACGAAAGTATGCAATAAAACATATTTTAAATCCATTTAATAGAAATATTAACCGCATATTACTGATTCAAAGTAGTCCATACTTATATATCTAGATCTATATTTACGTACATGTGTCTATAAGTATATTCATACCTAGTTCAGTTGTACTAGTGTATGAGTGCATTCTTCCTACTTTAGAACTTCCTAATTAGCTTTTTTCTCTTTCTCAATAGGTCAAATTCAGGTCAAAGCACAATTGCACATAATATCTAAGTCTCCTGAAAAATAGATATATTATTCTAACTCATTTTTTGATTTTCACCTTTTTTTCCCTAGCTAAGAATCTACATGAATCTGTTTGTGCAGTGCACCATTTCACATAGGAATACCCAACAATTGTCAAAGTGGGTTCGCAGGTTCGGATCCCAGGCACAGACCTACACACGGCTCATCAAGCCATGTTGTGGCGGCATCCCACATACAAAACAGAGGAAGATTGGCACAGATATTAGCTCAGGAACAACCTTCCTCAAGCAAAAAGAGGAAAATTGGTAATGGTTGTTAGCTCAGGGCCAATCTTTCTCACCAGAAAAAAAAAAAAAGAAACAAAAGAAGTGGGACTATCCGAAAGAATAAATAACTGTTTTCCGTAATAAAGCAAAGCACTAGACCTTGCCTTGCACTGTCAGGAGATCTGCTCTTGCTTTCTGCCTGACTGCACACTAAAACATCAAGGGGAGAAGCCACAGGCAGCGACAGTGACGCGCAATGACAGTTTTCTCAACAGTGTTTCTGCTTTGAAGATTGTAGAAAGATTAAGGGCAGCTCCATGTCAGGGGTTTGAAGGAAAAATTCTTGTCTGACAACTATGACATGCAGTACAAATTCTCATGATTTGGTTGTTTACAGCAGTTGAGAAAACATCCGAGTTGCAGTAAGTAACAATACCAAAGGTTGGATGTGCTTTCTTGTTTTTATGTAAAACCGAAGTAAGAATTTCACTTTTCCCTCTGTAGGAGGTCCGCTACATTTTATAGTGAATATTTTCCTATGATTTATTTTAGCCAACTCTAAATTAAAATTGTTTATAACATTGCTTTCTAGGAAACTATAATTAAATCAAACATAATTAAAATGCCGAGATGTACAATCTTACCAGGTGAAGATAAGGCATAGTAATGTAGATATTAAAATCAAAACTTGATTAAACATTGCAGACTGTGTACGCTGAATGGCTCTGTGTAGATCATTCTAAAACAATACAGAAAAAGCATATTTTAAATTTTGATAAATGTTCACGAGTTTCATTACATTTATTACTATGTTACATTTCAACTATCTTGTGCATATTCAATACATATACTTTAAATGGATATAGCAGCACATTTTCATTTTTGCCTAGGTCTAAATATACCTTATGATAGCATTCATATTACAAAGACAATACTATGGGAGACCACCAAAGAACCACATTTCAGTTTACTTGCCTTACAAACATCTTTAGACATGTTACACAGACACCCCAAAAGCCCTCCATGGTAAGCATGGTCTTTTATGGGAAATTCTAATTTTAAAAATCAGAAAATAATGTATTTGTTAAGGGGAAAGTAATAGCTGGGTCAAACTACAATCACCTCTCCATCTCTGAATCCAGAAAAATAACATGAATTATGCCAGACAATTTATCATAAAAAGAATGACCAAATTTTTCAAAAGTTTAATTTCATTAATACTGAGACATATGAATCCAAGATACACTTTTTATCTTTCCAACTGAAGGATATTAAAAAATAATAATATCCATCATTGTTTAAGATGCAAAACATGAGCACTCACATACGATACCGCTCATGTAATTTGTTATAAATTTCTTGAAGTTAATTTGGTAATATAGGTCAAAATTCACAAGTACGTCCTTTGTATTTCATGCATTCATTCATTCATTTAATGAGTATTTACTCAATAATACAATTTCTAAAAATTAACCACATGAGAATCATCAGAGATGGAAATCAATATTTATGCATGTTCATCTTTATTACAAAATTATAATATTATGTGAAATAATGACTATTCGATACTACTAAAATATGCAATAAAAAATGGTTGAATAAAGTGATCAAAACTATATAGTGGATTTAGGTGCATCATTAAAAATGATTTGAAGAGGAATATTTAATGACATAGGAACTTGTCCATTACATACGTGTATGACAAAATTCAAATTATAAAGTTGAACATACAATATAATTTCATGTATCATATATGTGCACAATTTTTCACAAAAAATATTAGAAGGATATAAATTATCACTAGTATTCAGTCTGTGTGGTAGATTTGTAGGTATTCATAATTTTTTACTTTATAGTTTTCTGTTCATCTCAGCTTTTTATAATAAAGCTTTAACAGTCTTAAAATCAGTATTGCGTGAGATAAATGACTTCACCAACATAAAATCTTAATAAGCCAGTATCTTACCTTCCTCTACTATGCATTTAACCAGAACTGTTATGACAACAAAAAACTAAGTTGATTAGAAATTCACTTCTCATCCCTTACTTTCTTCTGACAGTGGTGTTAACGAGCAGAAAAATAAATTAAAATTTAGCAAACAGTGAGAGGAGGAGAAGCAAAATAAAGAAATACAATGGAAAATGAATCCTAAATTAATATCGCAAAGCACTGTTCTTACTCTCAGTGACTGACTAATGATTCCTCTCTTGGTTACGTTATTTTTTCCAACAACTAATAATGCAAATTAGCCAAGAAGTTTATTTTTTCCTGGTGTGTGTTTTTCATTAGCAATTTGGGCAATCTATATTTAGTGAAATGGTTTTATTTTGGGACAGTTAAGACAGCCCGATGTTTCTGCAAACCACTCCACTGGCCATACTCTCCCATCCTCTGGCCATGTGCTTTCATGAGACTCCAGTGGTTACTTAGTATAAATATTTGGAAACATTCATACGGGTGTGAATACTCAAATGTTATTCGCATATTCCTTTTGACCAAAACTTTTGTCAGAATTTCATAATTTTTTAAAAGAAAAACAAGCTTGCCTCCAAACAAATTTAATTTACAATGTAGTAAAATTAGTAACATTGAGCCCTTACTATGTTTATAACTGATACAATATCATATATATTATATTATAAATAACATGTATATCTATGCATGCACACATAGATATATACGCATGTATATACAATTTCTTTTAATTCTCACAGCAAGTCTGTAATGCAGCCACTTTGATTCTCTTTTGAAGATGAGGAAATTAGCAAAGAAGTTACATCATTTGCCTCTCATATCAGAGTACTTAGCATATAGTGGACTCATATTAACATTTGTAGAATAAATGACTTAAGAGCCAATGTCTTACAGCTCACTTATAAGCATTGAAGCCTACCGTAAATGTATTTTGTTCATGATTATAAACCAGTCCTTCCAAACAAAGTCAGCCTTGAGCAAAATGCAACTGTGGCCCATCTCTGAGTTCTACAACTCTTACTTCCTGCTTCCTTTTCTCCTTCCTAATATCCTGCTCACAACCCAACCTGGCCAAATCTAAACAGATGACTTGAAGTGAGGAGCTTCTAGATCCAGTACAGAGCCTTACAAAACCCCACAGATTTTTGTGGAATGTGAAACTACTTACAGTTAGGAACCGCTTGACAACATTGCCACCTGAACCCTTAAAACCCGGGGTCCCATTATGCATCAACAGATTACCTTGGGAGGAAGGCTGTTTGTCTTCAGAAGATTGGCTAAGAAGTTGGACCAGTCCAAACAGCAGTTAGCTTTGGTTTGGTGATGATTTAGAAAATTGGAACCATTTTTGTATACCAGTTCACAGAGTCTTACAAAGGTAGTGTCTTGGCAATATGGGCATTTTATAACTTTCATTCTGATTAGGATACAAGCAGACTTAGGTCTATTAGCTTAGAGATTTATGCAACATATCATTTTAATTATTTGACAGGATTTTACCAAAACTTCTTTATTTTTACGAACATTTAAATAAAACTAATTACTAAGATACTAAATTAATTTAAAAGCAGTTTAAAAGTGAAACATTTAGAAATTTAATTATAACTGAAATTCCAATAGTATGTGCTTATATTTTATGGAAGAAAGCAGAATGAGGAAGTACAAGACTAAAACCTCAAATCGTCTTCTCTCCGTGTTTAATCTGAGCAAGTCAAAGTGAATAAGAAATAATGGAGGTTAAAAAGTATTTTTGTATTTGCACTTGACTTTTATACTTACAATCATATTTTCCAAGGCATGTTTGGCAAGCCAACAGTTTAGAAAGACTGGAACAAACAGATTCCTTAAGGAAGGCCAGAAAATCTGAAAAACAAGTCAAAACTAAACTTTTATCTCAAAGCAAGAAATCATACCCAGTCGATTGAAAAGAAATGTAAAACAAAAAAGTCATTAAAGACAATAGAATGATTTCAAACATGTGACAAATACTTTAAACTCATTAATGAAATGCAAGGAGCAGATATGATCTTTTCATTCATTATCTAAGTCTTATTTAGGGGAAAATTCTTGGGAAATTATTGTAGAAGTGGAAAGGAAATAATAAGCTCTCACTGGGTGTCAGCTATAAATATGCTAATTCTATCATTAAATCTTTTAGTGCGACAGTTTATAACAGACATCGCCTCTCTCTTCTCTGCAACTTGAGGTGAACAGCAGGAAAAAGGAGAGAAGACTTTGCCAATTTATAACATTACCACTTATTCTCTTCGGATTCAAACAGTTTAAGTGACATTGGGGAACCATATTCAATTGGAATTTTATTCAGTTGGCTTGGTTATCTAGCTCAGTTGATCCTCTAGATAAATCACGCAAATTAAAATAATTGTCAAAAGTGAGCAACAGCTTCAGATAGTATCTACTGATTTTCACAATTTTCCAAACCGAACTCAAATAAAGTGTTAGAAAGCGTATTCCCAACAGACATTATTATAACTCTATCAAATAGAGATTAAAACCTCATTTTGCAATGGGAAAGTGCTTGTTATGTATTTATGGGACTGTAGTTGCAAGGGATCATCGTGGAACTGGTACTCCACAGTACTGTGACAAAGAAGCAACTTGCTGGTTGTTGGCTTTTGGTAAATTTCTTATGAAAGACAGAATGGACTTAGTAAATCCTGTGATTAAATTAGGCATAAATATATTCTCAGCATGAGAAACTTTTATAAATCCTTGGTTCTACTTGGTTTCTATTTTTTTTCAATTCCAGAATATACACAAGAAATGGAGTGATTAATTTCTAGTCTGTTTAGACAATATTGACATTTGTTTAAATGGCACCTCTGGAGCATATATTTCTAAAAAGTATTTCATTTTGCTACTGTACTAAATCTGATTAGTTTTTGCTCAATTTTATAATCCAGTTATCCAAATGATTTGACTTTATTTTTTAAAAACACTGTGATTCTAACCAAAGCCTAAATTCACTTATCTGACCTAATATATTATTTATTAGCATTTAGATTTAAAGACTTTACTTAACTCTAATAATAAAATCATTTATTTTAAAGATTCTTTTCGGACTTACTGAGATAATGAAGGGAACGGCATTAATTATTTCCAAGATGAAGGGTATTCGTAAAATCTGTTCCCAGATGTTTCCCTTCCAAGAAAGAACGAATAAAAATGAAAGTCAATTATACTGAATCCCATTAAAGGGAAAAAAGACAGCACTTAGAATTTCTCTAGCAAGAAGGATGCTGACATTAACAGAATACTGAATCATTATATAAAGATGTAGCAATGAATTTTAGAGGTGATTTTTCTAAAGGTAATTGTGCTCTCTCAATTTTATAGTAAGAAGCAAAACAAATGTTTATAGTAATCCTTGAATCTGAAATGTTTATAGCAAGCCTTGAGTAACACATTTTGATCATACAATATTTCATGGAAGAAAAATTACTGGTAAAAATAAAACATTAAAAAACCTACAGAATCAGTGAAAAAGTAACTCAATCTTAATTTTTTTACTATAAGAATTATGTTCACAAACTGTAAAGTATATTAAACAGTGTAAATACACATGCTTGTTAACAATGTTCATTGGTATTAACACTTTTTACATTAATAAAACTTAAAAGAAGGGCTTTTTCAATCATCTAAATTCTAATCTCCCAACCCATATAGTATAATAATATTAATCAGGACTGGCTACATAATTTGCAGGGCCCAGCGCAAAATGAAAATGCAGGGCCCTCTTATTAACAAATTACTAACCATTTCAAGATGGTGACATCAGAACATTAAAACAAGGGCAGGCCCTTCTAGTTGTGCAGCCCTGCCCATCTGCATAGATCACACGCCCGTGAAGCTGACCCTGATATTAACAGGCCATCACTGAAACTTTCTTGAATGGTGTTAAACGAAGAAGAACTCAGAACTTCCTACAGCAGCTTATCCTGCCATGGAGAGATCTATGTATTAGAAAGACAATTTGCAAGCTGGCTCCCTGTAAGTTCCAATAATTTTACAACACTGGCTATAAAATTTGACGTCTTTCTTAATTTTCCTTGAGGTCCCGGAGGCTTAAAACATTACAGTGATGCAAAATACCGTCGCATCGCAAAGCAAACCTCTATATGGGGTGTTGGCTATATGCTAAAATATTAAGCAATAGGTTTTATCATTAGTTCATCATCCACCTCCAGGCTATATGAAAGTGGTAGGAGGGAGGCAGGTGGAAGAAATAGAAGCAATGAGAACTCCTCTGTATAGAGATGTTAGAGGTGCTATGGTGTTTCTCTCATCACTTCAAGGTAAGTGAGAAGGGCTCAAAGGACCCCTGAGAGAGCTTGGCTCAGACGTAGAGACTGTATTTGGCTAATGCCTAAAACATCTAAAAATGAGGAGAGAACACAGCAGAGAGAATGAGGGCTGAAATGAGAGTAAGCCACAGTTATGCCAATTTTAAGACAAAGGTACTTGTTTTCTGGGAACCAGATAAAGACCTTAAAGAAGGAAACCTACCATCATTTTAAAAGAGCTTACACTCAGGGGGGCTGTATCCTGAAGGGGAAATGGGACGTCAACAGACAGTGGACCTCAGAAGCCCAGGGTCTGGAGCAGAGCCCTAGTGGCCAGCCTGAGGCACTGAGGCAACCAGGAAGCTTTAGCCAAAGGCAGCCCTGCTGGTATCTGCCATGCAGAGCAGCCCAACGCCAGACTACACTGGTGCCAGTTAGGCAGATTCATCCAGACACTGACTTCCCTTAACTCCCTGTGCCTCCTCAGCCCTGCGGGGGCCAAAATCAGCTGCCATCAAATAAGAGAGGAGGTAGAAATAGGAGAGGGCCCCCACAAGCATTCCCTGCCCACTGTAGTTAGGAGCTGAGGACCAGCTAAAGCCTTAAACTGGACGAGAATTTTAAATTAATATATGTATATTGATCATAATTTCTTAAATACTAAACTGAGATTTGCTTTGCAATTGAAGAGACTAGAAAAGCTCTGGGACCTGCCTGAGGTTTCTTCTGATGAGCACAGATAGCAAGGAGGATGCACGGATTTGAAGAAGTGCAGGAAGGCTTTCCTACTTGCACCGAGTCAGGTCTCTTCAATAAACTAGGTATAATTGATTTCAATCGTGCTAAAGTTTTTTTTTTTTCAATTGTGCAGGTTAATATTACCATTTTTTCAACAGTTTTTTGCATGGTTCAGTTTCCAGAATGCTTAACATCTAGCTTACTCTTTCCTGGTTGTCTTTTTACTTTTCATTGTACATTTCTCCTCGATGTCAATGATTGTTCACAGGAAAAGAGACTGATGTGACCAGTAGGGAGAGGAGGGTATGGGAACAGTTACCACTGGTGATATGGCCAGAAAGATCTTTCTACTAATATACAGCGAGATTAGCATTAGGAGTTTTCTTAGCTGTGACACACTGGACAAATTCAGTTCATAGTAAACAAAAACCTTCCGTGTCTCTGATGGCTCTCTTCATTTCCAATTAGAACACGTCAATTTGATATTTATGATTTTTTTCTCAAATCATTAAAAAAGTCTCATAACTGGCATCTGACTTGGTTGGATTTATTTCTGAATTATCTTCCATATTGAAGCCAGAAGATTCTTTCTAAAATGCTAAATTTCCATTGCCAATATAATAACATACAAACTCTTCATTATATTCTACGAAGCTTCATAGTTTGGACTCTGGCTACTGGTCTGGTTTGTACCTGCTCATTCCTCTCCCCCTCTTGAATTCAGCCTCAGCTTCATCCACACTGAATTGTATACAGTTCTCTGAACAAGCTAGGCTATTTCACACTTTCATAGCATTGCTCATACTTCTGCCTCTGCTTGGAACATCCCACACCCCATGCCTTCACCACTAATCTCCTTGACAAGTGTTTGTGACACTTTATAGAACTTACTTGTTTATATGCCTTTAGGGCTCAATAAGTATGTTAAGGAATAAATGAAACTCCCAAATATTTTATACATACTCTGCCCCTTCTTGGTATAACTGTTTTACTTGTTGAACTAAAGTATCTATATCCCTTTCATTGGATCCAAGTGGAAACACTCGAAATAATTTTCTTGTTTAAAGTCTTCTTCAATGTAGTTATGTACAAGTTGTCAAACTTGTAACCACAGAGTTCAATGGAAATTTTCTGGAGGAGAGCACTTCAAGAGTACTTGGCTACATATCCATCATAGGTAATTTCATCTGTGCTTCAACTTCAACTTATTATCAATAATAAGCCAATGACTTCCCGTGTTGGATCTCTAGCCCAGGTCAATATTGCATCTCTGTTCCAGATTCTGTTCCAGATCTCCACTGCTTCACACAGATGCCTCAAAGGTACCTGGTGTATAATATGTCTAAAAGGATGATTTACTTTTTGCCCTGACTGGTTCCCTCGTAACACGCACCAAAAATCCTGGAGAAACTCTAAACCTTCCTTTGATGCTACCTAACTGGTCACTAAGACCTCTGATTCACAAATAGATCTTGAGTGTGTCTGTTCTCATTCTAACTCCATTCTCACTCTTTGACCTGGATGAGACTCCTAATTGGTCTCCTTCCCTCCATGCTTGCCCCATTCCATTCACCTGAAACAATATCATCAGGATTATTTGTCTAAAGGCACACCCAATATGCCAATCCCCTGCACACTTAACCCACCCCATACCCACTCACTTTGAGATTCTTGAACTATGCAGATATTTTCACAACAAACACAAAAATTCTATTACCACCTACAAGGCACTATATCATTTGGCTTTTGATGATCTCTCCACCCTTATTTTAAAGGTCATTCTTTCCAAAGAACTTTCAGTCCTTAGAATATTCGAGGGTCTTTAAGAGGCTTGAAAAATCTTCACCTTACTTTCCAACTTCAATTTCCCTAGTTAACTCACACACATCTTTCATCTCTCAGCTCAAAAGCTTTTGAGTTTTTTGACACTTTCCTCACGCGCTTATCACACACACTCTCGACAAGCTCAGACTCCCACGTTAGGTTTTTTGATTCTCCATCAATGTCCTTCACATCACTTTTTTCAGTTTGTATTGATATATTTAATACAATATTTGATTTTAAATTCTATGAAGTCCAGATGAGCGTCAGTTTAGTTCAGGATTCTATGCTCTCTTGCTAGCACAGTGCTTGACAATCTGAAACTCCTAAATGAAAACTGTAACCACATTATGTCAAACATGCTACTGTTGATTCATAGCAAGAGTGTGTGTGTGTGCATGCATGTGTGTGTGTTGTGGCAAATGAATGAACTTTCCACTGGGGACTAATTTTCGTGATCTAAAATTACACAAAGGGGCAATGTGCTCATTGCTAAAAATAAATGAATCTCTTTTGAGTTATATTCATTATGGTTAATTCTAAGACCTCAGGTTGCCTTCTGAATTTAAAGGTATATTCATAAATTATCTTCCTTAAGATTAGCTAACAAAAAATAAATACAGAAAGTATCTATAAGTTTCACTGGCTGTTAGGGAGTCTAACATATAAAGCACATGATATAAATCCACATGATAAAAGCAATTATAACGAAAAAAGAGCATACACATCATAGAATGTCCCTATGGTGAGCAGCATACAATAAAATCCAAAAGGCAGGCATAGCACCTTTCAAAATTATGTTAAATATTTGTTTCATTTAATATTATTTTCATGAAGGAGATAAAAGACATAAGTCTTTTTCCACAAGGTAACTTCTTGAAGGAAAAATAATTCTAAGAGGTTGCTTTATCTGTTCTAAATGTGTTTTCACTCTCTATGATCTTCTTCTTATTGACAGAATTCAGTAAAATATAAATAAACCTTAATCCAACTATCTACAACATTTGGTATGAACGTAACTTTCCTTAACCAATAAAAATGCAGGAAAACAGGTGATTTTCTAAAGTGTATCAGGCTTTTATGTTATCATAAAGGAAAGCGGCAGTTTGGAACTATAATCCAGGCAACTCTAAAAAGCACTTTAAAAATCATAAGACTTATGGTAATTTAGTTACTCTTAGCCCAGGTTGGACCAAGAGACTTTTGAAAGACAGTTTCTTCTTCAATATTAAGAATATATTTAAAATACTTAACGAAAAAGTCTGATAACTTATCTTCTTTCAATGAATTTAAAATAGTGCAGCAACCCTGCGGCAGTCGTATTTTGTACATCCAAATGTAAACTCCACAATGTTTAGAGTGACCATTTCCATGGGTTAGTAAGCAGAATCACCACTATCTAGGAGTATCGAGGAGTCCTAGCTCCAGATTCTTCATTCTTTTCCAGAAATAAGCCCATCATGGTACTAAAATTTCAAAATCGTTGCTTCTTATAAAGTGATTACAGGAAAAAAATCGTAAATTTAGCAAAAACTTTCTAGGTATGTTGAATTTTTGTCTGCAGAGGTTTGGGAACTATGCTGGGGCTTGTTTTATCTCCTTTTGATTTAATGAATGTGTGTGTATAGATAGAGTTCTATTTTGAAAGCAGTTGATAAAGACATAGAGGGTATTTACGGTGACAGAAGAATAAGAACTTTGCTGTTGGGTGAATCACGTGGTTGTTTTGCCAAGCAGCTATCGACATGAATAGAATGATGGTTTAAGTACAGACCTGCACTTCTGTATGATAGAAGATAAAGTAAGTTGATATCAGGGATTTTTAATCATTATGTGCTAACCTCAACATATACTTTAAAGAGTTTTTGCTTTTATTGCTTTTACTCATCAGTCTTTGTTTTTCAAAACCTGTAGTCTCCATGATAATTTAAACTGTTTTAATTGTTAAGGATTAAGTCATGCTAATTTTAGATTATCTAATTTCAAGAATTATAAAGTGCTTACAGAATATTATTATTATTGTTATTTTTTGAGGAAGATTAGCCCTGAACTAACAACTGATACCAATCCTCCTCTTTTTGCTGAGGAAGACTGGCCCTGAGCTGACACCCATGCCCATGTTCCTCTACTTTATATGTGGGATGCCTACCACAGCATGGCTTGCCAAGCGGTGCCATGTCCACACTTGGGATTCGAACTGGGAACCCTGGGCTGCCAAAGCGGAACATGTGCACTTAACCACTGCGCAATCAGGACAGCCCCCAGAATATTATATTAAATTCATTTTTAAATATTGAATATATACAGATATTGTATATGTATACATTATCTGTATATATAAATACACACATATGTAAACAAATAGGAAAGTGTATGCTGATCTGCTGTTAATATTGATATTTCAGAACTAAAAGTATCAAAGAACAGTATTAGGGATGGATACAGTTGCTAATGCAATATCCGTTTCTGTGTACCTGACTATAATGTTTCCTAAAATTCTAACTTGAGAGGAGGAGCTCACTTGAAGTTCTGCTCTCCAAACTTGCCTGACTTATAGGCTATAAATAGTTACCAATTACATAATTTATTCATTCCAAAACATCTGTCGAACAGTCTATTGAAGGAGTCAAAAGAGTTCATGAGTTTGACTGAATTTATGAGAGGAAAAAGGTGATAAACAACAACCCATCTTTCCAATATCACATAACTCTTTTTTATCCTTTCATTCCTTTGTAACACACAAGATTCAACCACCATCTACTTTTCCTTCATCAAATCCACTAATGTTCATGAAGGTCAGAATGGAAATAATATATATCATCCTGCTCTGCCTAGAAGGCCTTATAATGCTTTGCTCTCATTTTATAAATGGAAGGAAGTAATTAATTACAAATGTCAGCATCATAGGATTACAATGGAAAATTATCTTGAATCTGCTTGGTGTTTTTTAATGACTTTTTAAATCAGGGTTAAGAGTTCTATTAGCAAAGCACAAAGTTAATTTCATATTACTTTTTAGTTAGAATTTGGAGCAAATACATTCACAAATGCAGATTAATATTTTGGCGAGCTTATATATCTGCACACACTCTTGTACTAGTAAAAGAGATTTAATTAATTTACCAAAAACACCCACATGATTAATTTTTTAGCATGTCGCTTTTTGTATACCTCATTCAACATTCATCGCATACTTGAATACTAAGAAACTTAAAGGATAAAATCTTGGATATTAATTTACTTGATTTTTATTTTGTTCTTCTAGATAACCAAAATCCAGATTTCTCAATCAGTACATGTTTATAGAGCACCTATTTTGACAAGGAGATATACTGATAAACCAGTAAAAAATCCTTCCTCAACATCCTGGTCAATACTGCTCATCACTGAGCTAGTGCTTGCCAGGTTATTTAGGGATGAGGGACCACCTGTGTGTAAGCTCTTTCAGCTTGCCTTTGCTGCCTTCAAAATAGCCTCTCAAGTCCCACGTTCCACCTTCTGTGCTCTCACAAAAGAATGGAATGTTATCAAAGCTGATCAACAGACCTCAGGTTTCTATTCCCACTTATTTTCACTTTTTAGAAACTTTGCTTCATTCATCATCTTTTCTTGTCCTCTCTACAACCTTTAAATGATGCACATTTTTTCCATTGTTAGGCAATCTTCCCTGCCTCATTCTACTACTTCTGGCGAGCCCCTGCAAAAATCAACATTCTTCACTTAAAACTGACTTTCAATTGTATTCTTAAAGGCGAATAGCAAAAGATCTCCTAAACTGTAAACTCAGTGGCCTTTTCTCAAGCTTCTGACTAAACCTGCCATAGGTGACATGCCATCATGTAACACTCTTCTGCTTTAGACATTTCTAACATTCTATTTTTTTCTCATAAATATTTAATCAACCCATTTATATGTTCCGCAAAGCCCTCATTCTTTTCTTTCTGCACTTTCTAATTCATCAATCTCACCTTATTTGATACTGGAATTATTTTCTTTAGATGGAGTTAATAGAGAATTAAAAAATTTAAAAAATGAAGCCAGAGGGAAACAGTGAAAGAGTTTGTAAGGACTTCTTGCTCTAAATTTAGAATTAAAAAGTAGTCTAAGAAATATCTTCAAAAACCTATGTTTTAAAAAGTGAGACAGAAATTTATATGTTAGATAAGAGTTTCCCAAAACATAACCTTGAGTACACTTGTTGATATAGTACATGCAGAAACTGTGACCTGAGCATTAGTGAGGAATATGACAACCATTCCGATGACCTTCTACCCTTCTTGTCTATTTCTCTGTCTTCTCTGATGGCTCTATTCTTCTTCCAACAACCACAATAGAAGCATCTCCATCAACATGAGCTTTAGCTTCTCCCTTGGTTATTATCCCTTACTCGATGGACTTGCGCACATCCTTATCCATCTCTGACAATGCCTGACAAATCCTAATAAACCTCTCTCTTCTGCAAGTCCCAGATCCTTATTTTCAATTGCCTGTAAGTCATGCCCACCTGTTTGTCCATAAACTCCTCAAATTCATCATTTCCAAAACCATTTCCATTATTTCATCTATGACGACTCCCAGCTGAATATTTTTTCTTGATGTAATTTTTCTTAGTTTTACTGCCAGTTTCCCAGTCATTTGGATTTAGAAAATCTTAAAATGATATTTTGATTTTTCCTTTTCCTCACCTATGCCGACCAATCAGTTGATTTCTTTAGATTCTACCTTCTTAATTTATCTTGCCACAAATCCGTCTATTCCTTGCACCCAGCCAAAAACTCACTCCCAGTTTTCCTTTCATGCTATGATCGTGTCTGAACTGAGCACATGGCCTCAGTGTGATCTCTCTTTGTCCTGTGCTGCACAGATGTTATAAATACTCCTAAAACTTAATTACAATTATAGGACTCTCACGTTGACCATCCTCTGTTAACTTCCCACTCCTTGTTGTTAGACAAGGCCTTCACAACACTGTCCCAAACATTTTCCACCAATTTATCCCAAATACCCTATATTCTGCCCAAACGTCACTATTTATTATTCTTCTAATTCTATATTCACATGCATCCTTTTATGCCTTTGCTCATTCTGTCAATCCCTATTGTCCTGTCTTTTCATCTTTCCTTGGTGAAACCACTGATTCCAGGACTCTCTTTAAATCAGTCAAGCATTTTCTTTTCATCCTTAATATGACCTTTCTCTATGAACCCCCATAGGACTTTATTTGCACTTCGCTGGAAGCACCTATTATCCCATCTTGTATTATTATTATCTGTGTAATTCACTCCTACCTAAATCCCTTTCTAGATTATAAACTTATTGGGAAAAGAACAATGCACAGTGAGGAGCTTTTCCTCAAATAGGAGTTCAATAAATATTTGTTAAAGTGTGCTAGCCAAATAAAGCTTCACCAAAAATTAAGAGAATTCATTAAAATAATTCCTAACAGAGATGTTTTTCCTCCCTCAGTGTTTTGTGTACAGATCAGGGAAAGAGGTTGAGAACAATAAAAAGCCAGACAAGTACATTTGCTTGCTTCCTATAAGCATTCATAGAAGGAGTAAAATAACCCATAAGAATTAGTGAAATATTTTTAAGCCACCAAGGAAAACTTTACTACATTGCTACACTTTTATATCACATACTAGAGAGATCCAAAATAATTAAAGTAGTTTAAGAAGAACTTGTTATATCCCCAGAGTATGAACTATAAATAGAGGAATACTGGGTAAATGCTAGCATTGTGTTCTACCAGCAGAAAACTTCTAATTAAAATAACTTACCTTATAACTGAGATAACCAAGTAGTATTGTTTCAAATAGACTTATCAATGCCACTGAAACCTAAAATATAAATTGCACCTTAATGAGAAAATGCAATGAAACCAAAATATCTATTCATGATTATAATACTATTAACTTTATAAATATGTGCATAATATGTGTATATATGTCTCTATATATTTGTATGGTATATATATATATATGACATATGATATAGGAGGCATTGTGTGGCACTTTAACTTCTATATACAGATGGCAGGCTGCAGGCTATCTCTAGCATTACAGCTTAGATTTATAATTTCCAATACTCCTTAATATATCTTTTTAAATTTAATATCTCAAATGTAAATGTGGGTTTGGAATAGTCAGACTGGCTGGAGTTTGCTCGATATGTAAAGAATAGGTCCTTGCGTGTGTGGGCTCCTAACACACACAATCACACACAAATGCGCCGCCCCATGTAATGCCCTCTTCCAGCACCACCACGACCATCTCCAGTACATCCGCAAAAACAGCAGTTCCTTTCAGAAAATAAAAGAACACAAGCTTCCAGTTGAATGATACGTTCTATCCTATGCCCCACCTCAAACAAAACCCAACAGCAAAATCCTAGAACACTAAACCAAACAGTCTGCGCGAGCACTTCAAGATACTTTCAGACTATATGAGAATGACCTGCACAACCCACTCCCCTTTTGCAGCTGAAAGTGCTAGTCCTGCGTCCTCCTAGACAAGCTCCACCTTTCTCTATATTCTCTACCATATATTCAACTTCCACTGCTGAGCTACCAAAAACCCGTGACTGCAACAGAAAAAGTAACCAGGAAAGATGTCCAAATTATTATGTGTTAAATACTCTATGCACTTTAGGACAGAGGAAGAGAGAATAAGGTACCACAAACAAGAAATGACTCAGATAATCAATGTATTTGTTTATAGATGTTTGAGGTTTAAGACAATCTGCATTAGAAAGCAGATACTCTGGAGTCTCAAATTTTGACTCCTGTAGACTGAAAACTTTGATTTAAGTGAATATCCAAACATAAGGACAATCAAAAATATATGAGTGCATGGGAATAAAAGTCAACCATGTTCAGAAGTGCATACAATAGCCAGGCATTGTTACGATAGAAAACTCACGCCACTTAGATTTTCTCCACAAGTACCCTGTATCATAATCATCCATGCTTTTTTCTATACGTACAATATGTTAAGTGATCACCAGAACATTTTTAGCTTGGATTACTCAAAATTCTATTTCAAAATAAGGATTATTATTATTTTAAAATATCGCTATTAGATAAAAGGAATTTGAATAGATTAAAATATATTTCAAGGCCATATGTGACTATTCATAAACATATTAACTAACTTTAAATGTGCACCTCACTGAAGGATAATATAAGAATCTAGCTAGAGGTTCACTGCATTTTTAGTGAGTACTTCAATATTTGAAAAGTGTATTTGTAAATTAATGACATTGCAATGAAAGTCAATGGGAAACAACAAAATACAACTTGACTTCAACAAAATATGAAATATCCAGACATAGTAAAAACTTGATTTCATAGTTATGATTGCAATGCTTACATAATTGAAATAATTCATTATTACATATGAAATGTACAGACTTCACAGTCATCATGACGTTAAAAGACAAACCAAACATTTTTAAGGATTTTAAGGGTTGTTTATTAACAGTAAGTCTCAGAGTTTTTCCACTTCTTCTAGACTTAACTGTCTTCCAATCTCTAAATTTTGTTTTATGTTAGTAACTCTATGCTTTGAATAATTTTCACTTTTGAAAAATAACAAAAAATAAAAAGTATCTGTAGGAAGGAGACAGGAGTAGCGTGGATGAGAACTTGTAAAAAGTTTGCTGGGCATGAAATTCAATAGAAAAAGGAACAAGAAATGACACAGAGCACTCTAGGGACCTCAATAATGTAATTCAGACATGTTTTTCTCCTTTTCTTACTCTTTCTTCAGGACTCCTTTTATGCCAGGGCCTGCTTTTTGTTTTATTTACAAAATTATCTGCTTAGGGACCCAACTCTTGCTGTTGGTGATATGAGCCTCTCATTCATCAGTTTACTCATTTAACAATTGCTTATTGAGATTCCACCATGTTCCAGACACTGAGGATAGAAGGTAGAAAAGCAAACATGGTTCAACATGGTTATGGGTTTTGATTCACTTTTCAAGGATTATGTAACAGGAATATCTAAAGTAGTTTGGGGAATTTGTGGCTCCTTAAAACATTGGTTTTATTTTGGTTTTCTCCACACTCTCAAAATCTTATATCTAATCCTGATTATGAAGAAATTCTCAAAAGATGGAATGTAGGGTTCAGGCAAACATGGATAAAGGAATAAAAATGTTAGTCTAAGATGAGCACCAAGATTAATTAAGCAATAAAACAAATTCACTTTTAATATCAATAGTTTTCTTTCCAATTGTATTTCTCTGTGAAATATAATAAATCCAGAAATATAGGGATAAACAAAATTGTACATAACCTGTAAGCCCCATAAAGGTAGACTTCTGTTCACCCAAAAGATATGAGACCTGTGAAAAGAAGGATAAGATGTTAGTTTTAAAAAATGTGATGAAAAATGCATTCATTTAAAAATTTCAATTGAAAAGGGAAATACTTAAATAGTGCCAGCATAAAAAGACAATAAAATATCAAAATTAAAATTAGGAAACTATATACTGTTTCAGTTTTCTTTTAGATAATATTCATTTCTGTTCCAGGAAAAACCCCTTTTAATTTCGTTTTTGGTCTCATGTTAATAATAAAAAAGATAATGGGCCCTTATTTAAAGAGTGATTAAGGGGGCCAGCCCAGTAGCGCAGCAGTTAAATTCATGTGCTCCACTTTGGTGACCCCGGGGTTCACCAGTTCGGATCCTGGGGGCAGACCCACGCACTGCTTATCAAGCCATGCTGTGGCAGGTGTCCCACATATAAAGCAGAGGAAGAAGTGTACGGATGTTAGCTCAGGGCTAATCTTCCTCAGCAAAAAGAGGAGGATTGGTGACAGATGTTAGCTCAGGGTTAATCTTCCTCAGAAACAAACAAACAAACAAAACAGAAAACCAAAAAAAACAATAAAGAGTGATTACAGAAGGATGAGAAAACCTCAACCTTTTTACCAGTCAACTCTCCATTGAAAAGTCTTCTGTAAACTCTAAGACTTTGTTATTTTTAAAGCTGTCAATATTTTGGCAATACAAATTGAACAGTATAAATGATCAGAATAAAATCGGTAACAGATTATAGAGCACATTAATATTTTGGATTTGGATTTTTATAAAATGTTTAACATTCCACCAAAAAAACCCGGTGATTGAGGTTAGCATAGAACATTATGCAGGACAAGGAGCGACTGTCCTTAAATATCTCTTAAAAATCTTGTCATCTCTAATGTTAAAAACTGTTTATACTCTGCAAGAACACCATACGCTTCTAATGTCCTGCTACTTATAATTTTTCACTATTTATACCCTACCCGCCTTATCTACCTCATTTACTGTAAAGTTGATTCAAACAGGGTCATTCACAGCAATATACTCTACTTGGGAAAAGATGAAAACAGTCATATTATGCTGCCAAAAAATGCAAATAAAAAACTCAAAACAGAACAAAGCCTACTCACTCTTTATAGTTATAAATATTAGAGAAGCCCCATTATTAACTGTATTTTAAAATCTTTATGTCATTTTCTTTTGGGGAATATGTTAAAAAATAATGAAGAGCAATAAACTCTTTAAAACTCCTGTTTTAAAAAGATTTACAAAACTTTAAAAGATTAATCAAAGAGACTACCTAGTATATTCAACTGAAGTACTCTAACTCCAGAATGTCACATCTACCTGAGTAAATGACATCTTCAATTGCTCCAAACCGAACCTGCGATCTTTCTCCTAAAAACCGATCCTCTCAGTTTTTCACATCTCAGAAAATGGCACCAAATTCCACTATATGTGTTTACCCAAAAATTTAGATATCATCTTAATACGCTTTCCTCTCTTCTATTTGTAAATACGTAATACGTTAATCACCAAATCTTTTCGATTTTTCCCACCAAATAAGTGAAGAATTTATCTACCTCTCTTCATCTCCACTACCACAACCACCTTAATATAAACTACAATTTTTTGCAACTGGACTCTTGCAAAAGCCTACCGACAGGGACCCAAAACCTCCTTTTGCCTTCTACATTTTTTCTCCAAATTACAGCTACCCTGATTCTTTTTAAATGCATTTTGATCACACTGCCCCACTGTGTATGGGCATTGCACTTTTATTAAGGTAAAGACTAAAACTCTTAAAACGGCATTCTTATCCAACTGTCACATGATCCTTCCATCACAGCCCTTTTCACATATGAGTCTTCCCTCATCTTAGACCTCTCAGCTCAACCCCCTCTCACGGAAACCTTCTCCGAGGCTTCCACTTGATCAATGCAGTCAACTCATTTCAGGCAGTGTTAGTCACCAAACCTCCCCTGCCACTCACCTCGGTTGTAACTTTATATTTATTTATAAATGTATATCTTTTTAGATGTCTCCTCACTAAACTGTGTGCTCCATAAGAGGAAAGAGTATGTCTATTTTATTGACCGTTGTAAAAATAATGTTGTTCTGAGTACATGCAGATAGTAGGCTAGGCATTCAATAGAAACAAATGGATGGGGCCAGTAAAATCAAAACTATGGCTGATGAGATCAGTCACATCGTCCTTTCCAAAACACATCTCTTATATTCTCAGTGACATTTGAGAAATCAGACCAAAATGAGGTATGTATGAGTAAAGAGATACATTGTTTTTGTAGATAGGACATAGATACATAGTTTTTGTAGATAGGAAAATGATATGCTACAAAAACTGCTAAGTAGTTAAGTAGGCAGCAATATACAGAAAATTAAAAAATAAATTGCTAAACAGACATCTGTGAGCATTTTCATAAGGAAATTGGTAATTAACATGGATTTACTAAAAGCTAGTACACCAAACCAACAGCATTTTCTTTGGTCAGGGATGTTTTCATAGGTCTTGAAATATCAGAGTATTTAAATTTAAATATGACTTTAAAGAAAGGATTTTTTTGGACATGACTATGTCGTGTGGAATAGGTTTCATAATCTGTAAAAAGTATTTCTACAAATCTCTCACATATAAATTTCAATGCAAAGCGAGATCTCCACTGGAAAGTTGTCTCTTTTGCCCGTTTACTAAGCACTAAAGTGGATAAATACATAGAAGGAAAATGTACAAACTCTAGTGAAAAGCTAATGTCCAACCTCTCCTTCATAAAATGGATTTATCATGAAAAAAGAATATGAGATCTGATCTACACATTTCTAGAAAATGTCCAAAACAAATGAGGAATGAAACTGGAACTGACAGCCAGACCATAATTCTAAATGAAACTTCAATCCCATTGACAAAAAAACACTAGGAAGAAAAAACCCCGGACACGAATATTTATTGCCATGTCAGTTATAGCAGGAGAGTAATTGGAATCTACCTGAATATCCAAGAAGAAGAGAAACAAAGTAGCCTTATGATCATTAACAACAGCAAAAATGCCATAAATGAGAAAAAGATCATTGATATAAATGATGTATATACTATTGTCCTAACTATATCAGTATAAGTGTGTTATATGTCAGTGTGCATATGTAGAGAATTTACAAAAGATTGGTAGTCAAAATACTAAAAGCGCTTATTTATACGTGTCGGGATTTTAGGTACTTTTTACTTCCTTTGCTCTTGCCATATTTATTTATATTGCATTAATTATGAATCATTGATCAAATAATAAAAAATAAATTTCACTTTTTTAAATTTAAAAAAATTAAAAAACAAGAGAAAACATAAAAGCAAAATTGATACCATTCTGAAATATTTATATTATTAAAATTAATAAAATAAAATTATAAAATGCATACTGTTCTGAATTAAACTAGGCCTATAGATAAAATTCGTGCTTGAAGCATCATTGTGAGAACCGGAAGAGTCATGTCAAACAATGGAAATAGTGGCAGAAGTTAAATAGAGGACGTCCGTGATGTGTAGCCTCAGTCACTTTTCACAGCTTACTTATGGCTCCTGGTAAAGGCGAGAAGAGAGCTGCTGTTGATGTCAGATCAACTTCGGCAGCTGAGGGGGACCTCAGGGGGTGAATACATTAACCAGAAGAATAGAGCAGTTGGTAAACACATGAAAGTAATAGGGTCAACATGTGGGGCATAATTCATAGGAAGGACCTGTGGGTCACAAACTCAAGATGAACTCAGACTGATAGCTCCCCAAAGAAAAAACATGAATGTAAGGTTGTATTTCATTAATGAAAGTATAGTATCCTAAACCAGGGAGGACCATTATAAAACTCTCCTAACCATAACAAATACCAAGAACTGAGCTGTAAGTATGGCACTAGTACCACGTTTCAAAGACATACCAAATTTAATATGTGTCCAAAACCAATTTAGTTTTCAGTCCAAAACTGACACCGAAGCATAGTAGAACCTTGACAATACGTTAGGGAGACTTTTCAATAACGGAAGTTTTCCAAAGCACTGCATGGACTTCATACCAGGTTAGACAACCACCTGTCAGTGTGTTGTGGAAAGGACTAAACACTGACTCTTTGAGAGAACGGACATTAACAGACATGTCTTTCCAACAGACACACACTGGCTAAGATAGAAGTGGCTTTCTATCTATGAACGTGCCTTCTTCCCCTTCCGTAGTGTAAAGGTGAGGGCAAAAAGCCACTCTTCAGCCAAAGGCTACACTTCTCAGCCTTTGTGTCAGGGTGTGATGATCTGACTGACCCTCACATGAGTTCTAAGTATGAAATACGAGTACATGATGCTTGTCATATGTTGGCCAAGAATTTTAAACAGTGTATGTGCCTTCTCTAGGCTCTCCTTGCCTTTCTGGAAGCTCATTGCAAAGGGTTCTTAGGTCTTAGGACAGCACATAGTCACAAAATGAAAGTGGCTTATATGTATAATATTGTACTTAAAATATTGTCTGTATATATTGTATTCTATAATATGTGTGTGTGTGTGTCTGTGAACCACTCTATGGAGAAAAGGTCTACACTGACTAGGAACACCAACATTAGACTCCAGGAACCAAAAAGATTCTTTAGAATTTTTGAGATTATGTGTTAGAGTACTTGATGCTGCTTTAATCTTACTGTAACCAATACATGTGAGAGAAAAGGTCTATATTATGCTATTCATTCCTATTGGTCATGAAATACTTAAAAGATATTGTCAAAATTTTATTTCTTCTTATAAAGAAGAAATAATCTTTAAAATCTGAATGTCACCTGAACACACCTTAAAGAAGAAATAATCTTTAAAATCTGAATGTCACCTGAACACACTCCTTGCTATATTAGGCACTGATTTTAAATGCAAATCCAAATTCCATGAAATATAAGCACATTCATGTGCTTCTTACCTTTGTCTCTATCACTTGATGTTAAAAACTAATAATTACTTCAACAGCTTCTAGAGTGGAAAGGATGCCTGAGTTTTGACACACAGTGCAGAACTCTAAGCACCAGTAGGCAATGAGTCAATGCTGATGGCCCATCTCTCAATGAAAGTCACAAACTACGTGCTGGAGGTGTTTCCTGTGCTGATGCCTTTAAATCATTTACTGTAAAGTGTGTGTACATCAGAGTTTGTCGTGTGCACAGTTTCATACATTAACAGTAAAATTCTTTGCATATCCTTTAGCTTGTCCATACTTGCAACATTTTCCAATCAGTGTTAACTCCTGGAAGGGACTTAAAATAAAGCAAAGCCACACAAAATATCTGCAGCTTTATTATGCCAGGAGCTCTAATTAAATAAATCTCTTTGCTGAATTAGCCCTCATTATTTTACAAGATACCCTGTGCCCATAAAGGCCACTTCTGGTTTTCATTAAACAATACCGCATTGACAATGGGAACTAAACAGAACATTGTATTCAAAATGGAGCCATGAGCTATTTTGTTATGTTTTTTAATTGCAGTAATCTGATTTTTCAAATGTATAGCCTCCATAATTATGGCTGAATATTCTTAGTAATACGGCATAGAAGTTAATTGTAGGAAACTTTGTCCATCTTAACGTTTTCAAATAATATAATTCCACTCTGCTGTCACCAGGCAATGCCCTTTTACCCTAGAAGGATTCCTTCATGCTTCATTTTCTGATTTTCAAGCCTCTCTAATGTACACTTTAATTATAAATTACCAAGTTTTAAAAACAATTCTGGAATGTTTTTAGAAGGATTTTTAATGTGAACCATTTTTAATAACACATAGAGAAATATAATATACACTGACATCTCTAGGCAGTGGTCTTGAATCATCTAGATTGCGTAAAATTATTAATAAAACTGTTGAGTATAATTCCATCAATTCAGCAACATTCACTGACCCACAAAGTCCTACGCCAAGTATGGGAGCAACAGAGACAAATACAATATGGTCCTTGCCCTCAGTGAGCATATAGAGAGAACAGAGAAGTACATAATAAAACCAATGGCAATATGCTAAGTTCAGAAGTATTCAAGGCATGATCAGAAAGTCCCCAAAAGTCACTCCTAATCCAGAGTGGAATTGGGCAATAGGTCATGATGTCAGGTAAGAATTTCAGATTAAGTTTCATCCAAGAAATTGTTATCCTGAAGGACTAGGAGTCCTGGAGCAGGTTAGAAAAGAGTGGGTAGTGGGGGCCAGGACTGGAAACAGGGGTCCAGGGAGAGGGAGCAAAACGGTCATTGGCCTGGAGACGATGGAGAGCAGAGTTTGTAAGTTGCTTCCAGTAGGTCAGCATGGCTGGAGTAGCAGATCGGTGAGGTGAGGTAAGCAAGATCAGATTATAAAAGATCCTCATTTACTCATTTAGTCACTCACTCACTTAAAAAATAACTACTGAGCACCGAATTTGTGTCAGGCTCTGAGGATACAAACAATGCCCTCATGGAATATCCATTGCAATCCATACGAAATACACAGAAAACAAACAAGTAAAAGATGTACAATATATAAAAGAGAGAAAGGCAATGGAGAAAAATGAAAAGGAAGAAGAAAAAAATTATTCAAGGGAGTCTTGTGAGGAGATTACAATTTGAACAGGATGTTTAGGTAAGGCTTCACTGAAAATATGATTTTGAGTAAAGATCTGAGGAAGTGTCCCTATGCTTTTTAGTGGCAGAGAATTACAGACAGAAGGACCAGCGGGTGTGAACGCCCTGAGCCTGCAGTGTGTCTGGAATGATCTAGGAATAGAGAAGAGGCCAATGTGGCAGGAGCAAAATGGTGGGGGATGAGTAGTAGGAGGTGACATTACAGGGAAAATATGTGTTCTTACAGGCCATGGCAGGCACTTTGGCATTCAGAGCACAGCCATGTCAAGATCCAACTTATATTCTCAAGAAATACTGGCTGCTACAGTAAGAATAGATCAAAGGGGAGCAAAGGTACAACTAGGAGGACTAATTAGGAGGCCTTTGCAGTAATACAGGTGAAAGAAGGTGGCTTGTGCCAGGGTGGTGGCATTGAGAAGCATCTACACACTGGATATTTCTTGAAGGTAGAAATAACAGGATTTTCTTAGGGCTTTGCATATGCTGCAGAGTGTGAGACAAGAGAGAAGTCAAGAATGACTCCAAAGCATTTGGCCTGAGAAACTGTTAGGATGGAGTTCCTATCAGCTGAAACGTGGAAGGCTAGGAGTGGAGCAGGGTTTGGAGGAAGGATGGAGCTGTCACTCATTGAGATGTGGGAGATCACAGAAGCAGCCCATGGGAACATGGCAAGTTTGAAATGCCTATTAGACATCCAAGTAGAGAAGCTGAACACACAGTAAGAATTTGGGGCAATGGAAAAGTGCTGGCTTCCTGTGGTCAATGAGGTAGGGATAAAAGACACAAAAAGATTAGTGCTGAGGGAGTCAAAGAAGAGGGCAAATATGAGAAAACTTCAGCTTCTTTATATGGAAAGTAGGTACAACAAGATTAAATATATATTGAAGGAAATCATATACATAAAACCCAATGCCAGAAAATAGCAAGAACTCCAAAATATACCACCTTTCCACAAGCTGAAAATTCCCTGAGAGTAGTTAAATATTCCTTTTCATGGCTATATCTTCAGTTACAGCGATATGAATACATGGTAAATAGTCAATAAACATATAGTGAAATATCCATAATTATATTTCATTAAATAAATTATAAAGAATTATCTCATAAATTATTACACAATAAAATTTAGCTTGTTAATCTTTAACTTATTTCTGAACTGTTTAATAAATATGTAATCATTTTCACTATCTAAATAAGCTGAAGAAGAACCAATTCATTTAAAAGCATACTATGCCCTCATTTTCCATTTTACCATAATCTTTTTTTATTTTTTATTTTCTTAGGGCAAACTCTACATGAAAAAATAATTGTATAGAAGTTAGCCATCAAATTTGTTTTCTGCTTTGAAAATTATTTTAAATTTAGTAGACTGGACAGGGACCCAAGGTGGTGGTGAGATAAAGATTATCCATGCCATTATACACCCAGGCCCCTTCCTGATTGCTTCTCGCAAAAGATGATGCCTAAAAAGGAAAGTCCAGGGGCCGGCCCGGTGGCGCAGCGGTTAAGTTCGCACGTTCCGCTTCTCGGCGGCCCGGGGTTCGCTGGTTCGGATCCCGGGTGCGGACATGGCACTGCTTGGCAGCCATGCTGTGGTAGGCGTCCCACGTATAAACTAGAGGAAGATGGGCACGGATGTTAGCTCAGAGCCAGGCTTCCTCAGCAAAAAGAGGAGGACTGGCAGTAGTTAGCTGAGGGCTAATCTTCCTCCAAAAACAAAAAAGAAGGAAAGTCCACAAAAGAATATAAATGCAATTTAATAAAAGTAATATGATAATGAATGGAAAAAGAAGTTAAAATAAATCAATGTCATTTAACTCAAATAAGATAAAGAACCATACAAGCAAAATCTGAGACTTGAGATAGTCATGCATTCCAATAAATGCTGGAGTGTTTCTCAGAGTAACAACTAGATTCGTTGTTTTGTTTTTTTAGATTCCACACATAAGTGAGATCATATGCTATTTCTCTTTTTTATGTCTGACATTTCACTCAGCATAATGTCCTCAAGAAACCTTAAAAAAAAGTAACAACTAGACTATAACTGAAAACGTTTATAAAGCTGGTATAATAATATTATTATTAACAGTGATAACAATAATTAATACTATCGCTAATATTAACAGTAGAGTGAACTTTTGGGAGTATTTGTAAGCCAAGAAAAGAAAAGTATTTGGGCCTTTAAAGAGATTGACCCATATTAAGCAATTACTTAGGTACTTTGATTAGCAATAAAAATTTTATGGGTAAGTGTCCAGTATTATCATTATACTAGTAATAAACAATAGATAACAATAAAATAAGAGATGTTTAAAAAGAACTTACAAGGATTATATTCACACATTAACTGAAAGCTGGATCAATTTAATTGTGACAAACACCTGAAACGTCCTTGAGAAAAATGCATTCTATATAACATCCTTTAAAACTATAATAGAATTCAAAGAAATCAAAAGAATATTGTTGAAGGTCAGACAAAGATACCTTACCATTCATTTCCTTGTGAAGGGTTTTCGAGAAGCACTCGGATTATGTATAATAAACAGCTTAATAATTTTAGAGAAAAATTGAACAGACGTATTCTTAGACCTTTAAACAAACAACAAAAATTTGATTTTCATTTGAACTTAGTTCTCAAAAGACTAGAAAGAATTGTCAAAAATATCAACTTTAAACTTTAAGTTCACCACTTACATTGTATTTACAAACTACAACACCATAATCACCTAAACTCTCTGCAGTTCTAGGTACCTGAATTTTAATTAGTTGAATATTGAAACAAAAAGGACAGAATGGGTGAACTGTCAATGACGGTGAATATTATACGCTGAGAGGAAATCTAAGTTTCAGCATTCAGAAACCACAAAAATCATGTCCAATCAAGATTACTTCCAATGCACTAAGAAGTAAGCATTTTATTTATCTATCAATTTGGGGACAGATTTTAGCTAGCTAGAAAATCTAGCTGGTTACAAATTCATGGAATAAGTTATAAATCTCGTATCTTCAGAACGCCTTGTAGATTTGATTATAGAGAAATGATAATCATGTATATAATTATATATGACGCATTTAATTAGTAATCATGTAATTATAGATAAATCAGAACAGCATATGCTGAGAAATACAGACGCACACACACAATTTTTAGTTTGAGTTAAACCTAACTTTTCACTTTACGTTAAATACCAATGAAATCTTAAAATTTTTGTGGGAATTAAGACTGCTATGTATGTTTCTTTGAAATTGTATAGGTCACAGTTATGAAGCCTGTAATACTTGATTAAAAAGAAGAGCAATTAGGGCCCAGCCCAGTGGCATAGTGGTTAATTTCGCGGGCTCCGCTTCGGTGGCCCAGGGTCCGCCGGTTCGGATCCTGGGTGCGGACACACACAACGCTCATCAAGCCATACTGTGGCGGCATCGCACATAGAAGGACTAGAAGGAATTACAATTAGAATATACAACTATGTGCTGGGGCTTTGGGAATCAAAACACAAGAGGAAGATTGGCAACAGATGTTAGCTTAAGGCCAATCTTCCAAAATAAATAAATAAATAAAATAATGAAGAGCAATTAACATTAAGCAAAACATGCTTAAAATCTGATGAATAGAAGCTTTACCTTCCCAGCAATTATCCGGTGATATCTGATTCACACATCACAAAATTTTGAGAAAGGCCTTCCTACAATTATTACTTAACAAAATCTTGAAAATAATTATTACTTAATAAAATCTGGAAATGAAATGTCTTTTTTTTTTACTCTGCTATATGTGGGTGTATTTGAGGCAACATTTCTTAAGAGTTAAAGGTTAATGCTGATTAATCATGTCATTTTTCCTAGGTTTTCTTATTAAAATCTTAGGTACATTTTATGGGTTAGGCTCTTGAGAAAGTCTTTTAAACTGTTAATGAAATTGCCCTGGTTTTATAGAACTGGTCTCCCCCAATGACAGCTTAGTTAAGGCTGGCTGCTGGAGAAGTGTTCAAATAAGGCATGTATATTTTCTGGCCTGGAGAGATAGGATTGTTAGCATTAAAATCAAGAAAACCTTCTATTCAGATGATGTGGCTCCTTTAGGTCATATCGATCAGTGGTGCTTCCTTGCAAATTCTAAACAACCGGATTAGAGAAGCATTAATTATTATTAGCCTCAACCCTGAAGCTAACCTGACATGCAGAGTCCCTAGCCGGTGTGCCTTACATATTGAAATATCCTCTACAGTCAATATTTGGGTAACTTCTCACAACTCAAGCTTTTCTCTTTGAACCCTATAGAGGCACAACTTAATTTAGATCACCCCAAGAGGATTCAGGGGTCAAAATTCGGAAACACCAAAGTCTACACCAACCTAATATAGACCTCTCCATTGCTTGTTGACATTTTAAGCAATAATCATATGACAAACTACATATTGGCTCATTACATATAGCTTTTAAAAATACTTGGGGGGCCAGCTTGGTGGTGTAGTGGTTAAGTTCATGTGCTCTGCTTCAGTGGCCTGGGGTTCGTGGGTTCGGATCCCAGGTGCAGACTAACACACCACTGATCAAGTCATGTTGTGGTGGCATCCTACATACAAAATAGAGGAAGATTGGCCCAGACATTAGCTCAGGGACAATCTTCTTCAAGCACAAAAGAGGAACATTAGCAACAGATGTTACCTTAGGGCCAATCTTCCTTACACACACAAAAAAATACTTGGTATTATGGGGAAGTAACACGTATCATTGAAATGTCAACCTTGAATAAGCTTAGGAGGTCAATGACTATGCCAAATTCATTTCCTCTTGAAGTTCCACTGTTTCCCAACTTGTTCTGATGATAAGAATCATGAGGACGTTAAACTTTGAGCTTAGCCCTACACTTCCTGATTCAAAATCTCCAGAGAAGGATGCTAGGAAGCTGTACATTTCACAACCCCCTAGATGTTTCTCATTATTAGGCATGATTGGGAAACTCTGAACGCTTCTCCACTAAATCAGACAATTATTCCCCATTAGGGTCAGTCAGAATCACCAGAGCCTTCGCAAAGTACATTTTATGTGTCCCACATAGTTAAAATGGGGGAAACTCTTTGTTTAAATTATTTTCCTCAATGTTTCTACTAATCCAGATGGTCCACTCAGAAGTCTACTTATTGGCATGGGATATGAAGAATTAAAGGTATTCAGGAAACCTTAGCACCACCAGATGTAACATCTATAATTTTCTAAAATTTTACTGCCTGGAAGACAAGATTATTAGTTCTATTCCTCAGTATAAAAGATATTTTGCAAAACGATTGCAGAGCTGGAATCTTTTGCGGTAAATAGATGTACAAACACATAGACAGGAGAATAAAATGAATGACTTACTTGATCTCTGGTTTTTAATAAAAAATAACTTTAGTCTCTCTTTAAATGTGTTTTCGTTCATATAAAATTCAACTTGTACCCTGCAAAACAGAAAATAAAAACATAATTAATCTAAAGACTGATATATGAGAAAATAAAAAGTTATTTGATTGAATGCATTATACACTTTGAGTGAATTCCCACCACAGAAAATAAGAATTGAGTAAAATACTGCACTGTTTAGAGAGAAACAGTTAGATATAGTCAGTTTAAATATCATATGTAGTTCATTCAATGATCTGTATTAGTGGATGTAGACTGGTATGGATGATTCAAAACAACGATCGTGCAGAAGTCTTTAACATGTCTTTGGAATAAGTTTGAATCAGCGTTTTCCCAATTTTTGCCCATACGATAAGAGTCAAGTGAATGCTTGAGAAATTCAGTTTGAGCAGCATCGCCTCGGATCCACCACATCAGAATCTTAAGGGACTGAGCCTGAAAATCTACTTTTAACAAGTCCTTTGCTCCACCTTGACTCTCTTTGGGACATATTATGGGACACTTTACCTTCTTATTTATTTATTTAGGCTCAAATGAAAATATATATATGGATCAGCAAAGGAGTGGTAATGGCCAGTAGAATATTAAAGTTAACACAGGTAGGTTGTAAACCAGACAAATCACTTAAAAAACTGAATATTGTATATTTAGTCCACTATAAAATAAGATCAACAGTCTGAAAAACAGTAGCATACTAATAAATCCATTTGGTTTCTCCCTAAATTCTGGCAAAGTCTCTCATGTGATAGGGCTTAATTAATATTTCAAAATACTAAGTGAAAAGAAAAATTGTGTTCAGTGAATGGTGACTTGTTAATAATTATCATTTGAAATTTTCTTAATTAAATAGTCTCAAAAATATGCATTATAAGTTAGGATTCCCAAAACAGCTAAGAAAGCATTTTAATGTTTATACAAACAACAGATTTAATTTAATTTTTCCTAACATCACAAAATTTTGATAATGTAATTCATATAAACTAGATAGTTGTTTTTCGTTTTCTTTCTGCAGGAGTACACATGGGAGATAAAAATGGACATATGAAGATGCTTATGTACTACAGAAATATTTCACTACTATATTCTACGCTGTATATATATTCAAGAAGATTCATGAATATTTTAAAGCCGTGTCTTGTGTCATAAAAGTAAAAGGGCTTTTGTTATCAATTGCAAACCAAGTTTTATCTTTTATATCTTCTAAAAGGCTTGAAAGCTCTCTAACTTTATCTCTTACCCCTAAAGAAAATATTTCCATTCATAAACATTTTTTCTTTTCTTTTCATCATATACTTATTTTCTTTCCGCATTTTTTTCACCTTATATGTAAGGTGAAATGAAGGGACAGAAATCAAGATTCTCTTTACTTGCTAACTTCTCCAGAGAGAAGCCATGAAAATCGCAATGACGTCTTCCAGCAGAACACTTCCATATGCATGCCTACGTGCATGCACACACCTCACACACATACACAAACTCACACATGCTACAAAAGTACATCCAGACACAGAATTCCACTAGTGTCTCGGAAATCTATCCTTGGATCTGTTTCCCTTGTTTATCAAATGAAAAGGCAGTTCATTTTAAATAAAGTAACTGTAATACTGATAATCAAGCTAAATTAGTTCAAATTTGCTATGGATACAAAAGCAAATTTGAGAGGACATATGGCTATTACACAAGTAATTCAGCAAAGGCCACGTAGATCTGCTTCCTAGAATTATCAAATTTATAAGAATACTAGTCCATTCTTCAGATAATAGCCTGAATTCAGTGCTGAGTATATAACAGAAGTATATTTTTTAACTAAAATCGATCATCTAAAGCCTAATACAAATAATGAGGGATCTGGGAAGTCTCTCATATGAGGACAGCTTTAAGGAACTGGAAATGTTTAGCCTAAATATGAAGAGTTAGCAATAACCGAATGGCTGTCTTTAAACACTTATGTGGCCATTATGATTAAAATGAGGTGGCTCATAATGTGATGCTCTATAGTACAGAACTAATCATAGAGAAATATGAGAATTATGAATGAGATTACCCAATTTTGAAATGGCCATCATTGTGAAGCGGAAAGCTCTCCAATACATATAAATGTGCCAAAAACTGGATAACAGCTTGCAAGCAACTGGGTTTTTTTCCTCATAGTAAAGACAATTTTGCAAGGAGTGGGGTCTCTCATTAAATGAATCCCACATTCTCTTCTAATTATAATATTACATGAAGTAAAACTCTTCATTAATCCAGAGATCTTTCTGATTCAATATTCTCACTGAGGATCATGGATGATATCAAAATACGAATTTATACAAATGCTTTTTAAAGTTAGAGCTAAAAAAGCAAACAAACAAAAAACAAGCACACCACTTTTTGATCCATGTCTTCTCTCAGGTACAGAAAAATCTCCTTTAGGCTTTCTGTTTATAATATAAAGTGGAGCTTTCTTTTATTCAATCTAATGACAACTCTAATTTATTAAGTAATTGTACTTAATAAAAAATAAAGTGGAACTGCAATCATTACTAGATGGTATCTGCTCCAATAGACATCTTTTCACTGTTTAATGACGTTATTTTTATATTGGTCAAAAATGTTTTATTGTTTTACTTGAGTAGGTCCTACATATTCTTTGTGACATTTATTTCTTAGTATTTTATAATTTTGGTTGCTATTTTAAAAGTGCCTTGTTCTGACCTTTAACTTTTTGGTATTGTAAATGGTTACCATATTGAATTCATTTATATGTAGTGGTATTTTTTTCAGGTTTTTTTCTTGGGTTTTCTAGGATGACAATCATGTCCCCTGGAAACTGTCCCTAATATTTCTATTTACATTTCATTGTTCTTGTCTTATGATGTTGACTAGCACTTTTAAAAGGAAAATATCAACTGTGGTGTGCATTCTTAGAAGAGAATGCCTCTGTGCCTTAGCAGTAATTTTATTGTTGATTCTGGAATTGCAATAAGTATTTATATTTTACTAAAAACTTATAGTTACTAAAAATTACATCAGAGTGGATGGATGTTGATTGTTACCAACCACTTATCTTGAATCTATCAAGCTGATGGTACATTGTTGGGTGTTTTTGGACACTATTTAGTTAACTATTTTAACAGTTTTTTATTATGCAATTATTTTTTCAATTCTGGAAAAAATTGTTTTTGTAACAATAAACTATTTAGGTAATTCACTCCTGGATTCACTTTCCTATATTTTTAGGAGTTTTTCTTCTAAATTTATAACTAAGATTGACGGGCTATCATCTTTAGATTATTCTAATATCTTCTAATACGAATTGAAAAGCTCTCCAAGTTTTTCTATACTCTGGAAACATTTTGAATACTGTAGAGAAGTTTTTGGATAACCATTATCAATTTTCTCTAACAGTATCATCTGCTTCAACACTGATTTTAATGTGTGTTTTGTTTTTTTTTTCATTTTCCCCTCATTCTGTTGCTCCGGTTACTTGAACTTAGGGTAAAAATCGTGCAGGATCTTGTTAAAATGCAACTTCCTTTATTCACTCTTAAAATTCTTATTCAGTAACTTTAAGGTAAGCCTTATCATTTTAACAACACAAAAAATAATTCTGACCCAAGTTGTCAACAGTCCTTTCAAAAGCACTATTTTGCTTTTTTCAATAATGCCCTAGACTCTGTTTAGAATGCCAAACTTTTGCAGAAATTCTCCTTTAGAACTTGTAGTAGATATAGATCATTATCCAAGGAAAATTCTTCCTCTGTGTCTTCTTGGTGCTATTCTCTTCCTGCCTCCCTCTGATTTCACAATATTGGTCATGGTGTCGATGTCTGAGTTTTTATTACTATTCTCACCTCAAACAGGGCAGTATCTGCCCAGACATTCTGGTCTAAGCAGGCAAGTTCAGTGGATGCATGTCGGTTCTGCTCTCTTGCTATTTATTGCTTGGTGATTTTCCTTTGGAGAATTTACATCTGGATGGCAAGTTAACATACACAGCTCCCAGTGCAATTCCCATTTCTAAGAACTTTTCACCTGGCCTCATTTCTGTGCTTTTGTATTGTGGCATCCTCCTAAAGCCATGCTTGGTGCTCTGACTCCAGTGACTAAGGAGAAAGATTCAAGTCTCTCGATATACTTCTGCCAAGCTTCTCTTACTGTACTCTCACCCCTACCAAACTCTCAGTTGCATTTACACTTACCAGAATTACCCCTTTCAAAATGTACTACATTACTGTGTATACCCCTATTTTCTCTAAAGTCATTCTTATGTGTTGAATTATATCCTTCCAAAAGATACGTTGAAATTCTAACTCCCAGGATTTCAGAATGTGACCTTCTTTGAGATTGGGGTCATTACAGACATAACTAAATTAAGACGAGGTCATATTGGAGTAGGATGGGTCCTTAATCCTATATGACTGGTGTCTTTATACGAAGAGGGAAATTTGGACACACATAGAGGGAAGATGGCCATGTCAACACAGAGGCAGAGATAGGAGTTATCCTGCCACAAGCCAAGGAACACCTACCAGAAGCTGAAAAGACAAGGAAGGATTATCCCCCAGATGCTTAGAAGAGAGCATGGCACTACCAACAACTTGACTTCAAACTGCTATACGCCAGAGCTGTGAATCAATAAATTTCTGCTGTTTTCAAGCATTAGTTTATGATACTTTGTTATGGCAATCCTAGGAAACCAATACAATTGTTTTCTAAGACAGTGACAGCAGCACTTCTAGGTCACGTGAAGGAAGTCCATTAGAATGTAGGCTCCATGAGAGGGAGGAGCACATTGAATTCTGTTCACACTTATATCTTTAGCGTTTCACATATGGCTTGGGACCTATTAGGTGTTAAGTATTATTGGCTGAATGCCTAAATGAAGGAGTAGTGGGATCCCCAGTTCTTTCTTTAGTAGAAACATTAAGGACTCTGAGTCAACAGTACGGTGGATGAGAAAAAGCATCTTCCTTAGGTTATAACTATTTGAGGATGCAAAACTTGGGTTTGTGGTGAGCTGAATCCTTGGAAGCTCTTTCTTATTCCAAATTGT